GTTAACTACCGCAATATTAGTCAGAAACTGAAGAATATAGATTGGTGGTGGCTTTTTGAGGGTAAATCCACATCTGGCCAAAAGATTAGGGTTCATATTCCCATGAAAGTGAAGAATGAGGATGGCAACATTCAGGAATCTTGGATGACAAGAAAACTTGTGAGCTTAGTCAAAAAAAAGGAGGCATACATAAGGTTTAGGAAACTGAAGATAGATACAGCACTCAAGGAATATAAAGAAAGCAAGAAAGAAATTAAACAAGGAATTAAGAAGCTAAAAGGGGCCGGGGAAAAATCCTTGGCAAACAGGATTGAGAAAAATCCCAAGGCTTTTCGTACATATATAAGGAGCAAGAGGATAGCTATGGAAAGGGTAGGTACACTCAAAGACAAAGGAGGAAATTTATGCATGAAGCCAGAGGACATGGGTGAGATCCTTAATGAATAATTTGCATTCATATTCACAAAAGGAGAGAACATGGTGGATGGGGAGTCCAGAGAGGAGTATGTTAACATTCTAGAGCATGGCGATATAAAAAAGTGTTGGGTGTTTGGAAAAGCTTTAAGGAAGTCAAGTGGGATCTATCCTTGAATATTGAGGGAGGTGAGGGAGGAAATTGCTGGGGCCTTGTATAAAATCTTTGTATCCTCTTTAAGTCAAAGGAGAGGCCCCAGAGGACTGGAGAATAGCCAATGTTGTTCCTTTGTTTAAGAAGAGCAACAGGGTTAATCTGGGAAATTACAGACCAGTGAGCCTTACATCAAGTAGTGGGGTTATTCTTGGAGATGATTTTTAGGGACAGGATTTATTCACATCTTTAAAAATGTGGACTTATTATCAACGGGCAGCATGGCTTTGTGCAGGGAGATCATGTGTCAAAAACTTGATAGAGTTTTTTTGAAGAAACAAAGGGATGATTGATGAAGGCAGAGCAGTGGATGTCGTTGATATGAACTTTAGCAAAGCTTTATACAAGCTCCCTCATAGCAGGCTGATACAAAAGGTGAAGACACGTGGGATCCACAGTGAATTGGTAAGAAAGAAACTTAAATGTCATTGATGACAGGGAATAGCAGTGGAAGGGTATTTTTCTGGCTAGAGATCTGTGAACAGTGGTGTTCTGTGGGAATCAGTGCTGGGATCCCTTTTGTTTATAACATATATACAAATGATTTGGAGGAGAACGTAGGTGGTGTGCTTAGTAAGTTTGCGGAAGACCACAAAAGGTTGGGGAAACTAAGGACAGAGAGGAAGATTACCAGAAGATACAGCAGGATATAGATAGAGTAGAGACTTGGGCAGAAAAATGGCAGATGGAACTTAATCCAGGCAAATGCGAGGTCTTGCAAGATCTAATGCAGGAGGAAAGTATACAGTAAATGACACAGCCCTTGGAAGCTTCAACATATAGCAAGATTTAGGTATACACAATTTCCTGAAAGTAGCAGCACAAGTGGTTAAGTTGATCAAGAATGGCTGCTTGACTTCACTGGTTGGGGCCTAGAATAAAATTGACAAGTCATGTTGCAGCTGGATAGAACTTTAGTTAGGCCACATTTGGAACATTGGGTACAGTTCTGGTCACCACACTACCAGAAGGATGTTGAGGCTTTGGAGAGGGCACAGAAAAGGTTTACCAGGATGTTTTCTGGTTTGGAAGCTATTAGTTATGAGGAAAGACTGGATGAATTCAGTTTGTTTTCACTTGAATGTTGGAGGCTAAGGGGCAACCTGACATAAATCAACAAACTATGAGAGGCATAGATAATTGGAGTCCTTTTCCCACGGTAGAAACGTCAATTACTAGGGACACAGTATTAAGGTAAAACAGGAAAAAATTAAAGGTGATGTGAGAGGCAAGTTTTTTTATATAGAGGATGGTAAGTACCTGGAATGCACTGAGAGGAGGTAATAAAAACAGATACAACAGGAATGTTTAAGAGTCATCTTGACAGATGAATAGGTAAGGAATAGAGAGATAGGGTCTGCATAGAGACAAGGGTTTTTTGAATTAGAAAGCATCATGTGTCAATGCAGGCTTAGTGGACCAAAGAACCTGTTCCTGTGCTGTACTGTTCTTTGACAACATAAAGGAACTGGCCAGATGGACAGTGGCAATAGAATTTAATCCTGAAAGGAGTGATGTGATGCAATCTGGGAAGACTAACAAGGTAAAGCAGTACCTGATGAATGATAGGACCCTGGGAAGTACAGAAGATCAGAGGGACCTTGGTGTGCATGTCCACAGAGCCTTGATGGCAAAAGCAGAGATGGATAATGTGGTTAAGAAGATACATGGTATACTTGCCTTTATTAGTCAACACATTCAATACAAGACCATGGACGTTATGATGAAGCTGCATAAGACATTAGGCTACAACTGGTGAACTGTGTGCAGTTCTGCTTGCCACACTATAGGAAGGATTGATTGTTCTGGAGAGGGTACAGAGGAGATTCACCAGGATGTTACCTGTTCTGAAGTATTTCAGCTGTGAAGAGGGACTACATAGAATGACATTGCTTTCCTTAGAGCCAAGAAGACTGAGGAGAAACCCGATTGAGATGTACAAAATTATGAGTGGTAGTGGTAGCAGACATAGGAAGAAATGTTTGCCCTCAGTACAGCTATCAATAACCAACATATACTAAAGGTTAGGTCAGGTGGTTTAAAGGGGACTTAAGGAAGGATATTTTTCATCCAAAGGGTGGTGAGTATCTGTAAAAATGGTAGAGGCAGAAACCATCATAACAATTAAGAAGTATTTAGATAAACTCTTGAAACTCCACAGCACACAATGCTACAGGCCAAGTGCTGGAAAATAGGACTAGACCAGATTGTTGCTTGTAAACTGCACTGACATAAAGGGCTGAAGAGCCTCCTTCTGATATTTAAAAACTATGGCTAATACTATAAAGTGTGAATTAAGAAGGTGGCTTAAAATGCTCAAAATACACAAGGGCAAAAGGCAACTGCAACCCTGAAAGTCCCATAAATGGCTGGGAAAAGTCAATCACAGGGTGAGCAATCAGAGAAAAACCACCCTGTTGTGGAATTGTCAGAATTTCTGAGAAACTGTGCCACCAAAGGCTGATTCTCTCTCACAATTACTGCTGATTATGAACAAGTCTTCTCATAGAATCCCTACAGTGTGGAAACAGGCTCTTCGGCCCAACAAGTCCACACCAACCCTTGGAGCATCCCACCCGGACCCATCCCCCTATTACCCACCTAATATACACCCTCTACCTCCCTGAACACTACAGGCAATTTAGCATGGCCAATCCACCTAGCCTGCACATCTTTGGACTGTGGGAGGAAACCGGAGCACCCGGAGGAAACCCACGCAGACACGGGGAGAATGTGCAAACTCCACACAGACAGTCACCCGAGGGTAGAATTGAACCTGGGTCCCTGGCACTGTGAGGCAGTCGTGCTAACCACTGAGCCACCATGCTGCCCCTGAACCTATGAACCTATCTGCAGCAAATACAGAAGAAAAGCAGCATGTGATCAAAGTAGCATAGAGAGGGTGAGTGCTGCAACTAAGCATAGCACCAAGGCTGTACTGGATTGTGAGCTTGCATGGCTGTGGCCTGGGGAGTGTGACCAGCAAGAGTGGGGTGGCAGCAAGCTTAGGGATCGCAAAGAATAGAAGAGTCATATAGGGGAGCAAAAGACTGCAAGTGGTGCAAGACAGGGTGCTATGAACACAATAGTAAGACTATGCTGATAATCAAGCCCCACTCCCCCATCAGCCTTTGACACAGTATAAGCGCAATTTAGGCAGTTCCACCTTGCAGTACAAATGAGGAGATAGAACACAGGTCACAACAGCATCAGACTGAGCAGAAGCTATATCACATCAATCAGTTTGACCATAAACCATCTCTTCAGCTACTTGAGGATAAGTACTCAGAGGGGAAGTACACAATTGCAGGTGGAAGGAGGAGAGAAGCTATGAGTCAACAGGCAGAGGAGCAGCTATTTCCAATATCTGAATACCAGTGGCTCAGGAGGCTCAGGCTCTCACGGCGGGTCATGACTGATATCTGCAACTCCTGGAACAAGACCTCCTTCCCAATTCACAATTGAACATCTATTTCCATAGTTCATAAGCTACTGGAAGGCCACCTTCTGGGTTTCTGCCTCTTGCAAAGTTGCATGCTCTAATCTCTTTCAAGTAGTACTTACAATGAGATGTGTAGAGGTGTGGGGATAATGGAAATGGCAACATTTATGGAGTGTGATTGTAAGGCAAGGCTGTGGGAGGACCAGAGACCTAAGTTGAGTGGGAATTTTGGCTGTTCAGATGATCTTGTGAGATACGTGCAGGGAGAAGAAAGAATACAATTTCAAGGCACATTGGCCAATGGTGCATTATGCAAGAGAATGCTGGGTCACTCAGAGAGTGGATCTTGACACCCTGAACTGTTATACCACTCAATTTCCAGTTCATACTGAGATCATGGATCCTTTATGTGCACTGTCTCTCATCTGGAGGTGCCAAACTTCTGCTACTGATTTTCTCAACCACATCTATTCATGTCTAATTGTATATAGAACTTCTCCCTCTTTCATTGATCTATTGGAGAGCTTGCCTCACTGACGATCCTCAGATCCCACAATGGACCAACAAATAAAAATGAAAGACCAGAGGCAGAAGGGTGGAGGTGGGAGGGAATCTGGTGTGGTAGTAACCTAACCCAAGTTTCCTTTCCATTCCTGCGGTTGCTTCAGCCTGAAAAATCAAAGTGCTCGTAAGCTCTTGCAACCTAATTTATAGTCCCTTTAATCTGAAATCCTCCTCCCTTTGACAGGACAGACACACTATCCCACCTGCCCTTCCTAATCTGGTGGGAAGCCTGAATGTGGAAGGAGCCCATAAGAAAATCAAATTCCTAACCCAAGAATAGGCCTGCATTCCGTAGGAATTAAGTGGATGAGATTTCGCCCATCTTTAAATATTCTGCTTAGAGAGGAGAACAATGCTTTTACTTACCCCACTGAGATTTACACGATCTATGTTAAATAAATATTGTAGCTGTAAAGCTGAATATATTCCTTCATTTTTGCGGCATTTGCTGTTTAAAATTAAAATAAAAACTGATTTAGTGATGATACTTCATGCTTGTTATACCTATTTTATGCACAAAATGGCTCTTGGAGAGTAAAAGCCATAACTCTTAAAGTGCATAATGCTGTACTTGGACATTTCCACAATGCCATACTATCTTAAAAGAGTGTTAAACAAATATTCCTATTTAAAGGTCATACAAACTTGAATGAGTAAAATAAATACAGAATTAAAGATGAGAAAAGCCCTTGATATTGTCTTTCCAAACAAGAACTTGGAAAAAGAACACTAAAAGAACTGTTGGATGCAATTGGTTAATTCTGTTCACAGATAAGTAGTTACATTCAGTGCCAAATTATGAGTTTTTAACACCTTCAGTATGGAAGAATATCTGAGCTGTGATGCTCTTAGGCGCAATCCCCAAGAAGTTGAAAGACCCCAGAAAAATATTGGAGAAGACATTGATGTCTTTGCATAGTAATTTGTGTGATTCTATGTCAATTGTGCTACTAATGGCTTTGTCAGTCTTTAGGTATCAGTAAACCTGAAGTGATAAAGACAGCCACAGCAAATAGCTTCAGAATCTCTTATAACTTAATTAGAGTAGTTGGGAGGAAACAATACTCAGGGCATGCACTCCTCAACACTGTTTGGTGCTCCATACCTAACTATGGAGATACTGTGCCAAGCCAGGATTGGGAATGGTTGTGTTATATCCTGTTACTAAGTAACCTATCAAAACATACTGTCCAAGTTTACAAATGATGACCAATCACATAGCAAACCTGAATTCCTGCTCCAGCCAAGTCTTCATCTATTAGAGAGAAGGTAGCAAGGAGATAAAGCAGAACAAAGTGTTTTCCCAGAAACAAAGCAGCAATAGACTTTACTATCTTACCTGTATACACTTTGAAAAGTGACATTTACGTTGTGTTCAGAAAACAGAAATCCAGAAAGGAAATGTTTCCATTGTGAGTTTAACAAATAAGGAGTGTCCAGAACCTGAAAAGTGCAAAAAAAAAACAACATATTTGAAGACAAATAGCAGAACAATGATTTTCCAGATATCAGAAAAAGTGCAGTTTACCATTGATAAAATTCTAGGCTCAAAATTTTTAGGAATATAAATATAATCATTGAAAACAAAAAAGAAATAACACTGCCGATAAAGGAGCCTTTTTCAAATAAAATTCTACGTTCATTGAGAAATTTTTAGGGTGATTTTTTAACAACTTTTGTAAAATATAAAAATTGGAAATGGAATCAATGCCAAAATACTTCAATCAATACAAAAGTTTCATCCCATGTCATGTTAAATCTTATTTAATCTGAATTTATAGTTCAATATTAGGAACCATTTATATTTATTTATACACTGCCTTTATCATAATAAAACATTCCAAGGTGCTTCACAAGAGCAACTATTAGACATCTGACACACAAGGCTTCTTTTACAGCCAAACCCAAATCACCACAGTGTTTGAAAGCAGAGAGAGAACTGAAAACAAAGCATTTCACCTGCCCACTGCCTATCCATCCACCTTCAACATATCTTCACTTTTAATTGGGGGGTGGTGGAGGTTGGGTGGCTTGCCTTGTGCTTCTGAAGTCCTTATGTGGCATTTAAGAGTTTCATTCCATTCCCACCGCTGTTTTACTTATGGCAGGGACAAACCTACAGCATGAAAGGAACCTGGCAGCTTTTCCTGGGTATGTTAGTTTATGGAATAGTGTTTGAGGTGATGGGGAGGAACCTTCTTTGGATGTCACCTGAGCCCATCTGAGGCACTCCCTTAGCTCAAAGCCAAAAACCTCTCTTTAAGCTCTCAAACCCAGCTCTTCATCCACATGATGAGAACCTGTCATTGTACTCACTGATACAACAGACTAAGACTGGCCTTCATGATCTTTTCTCCTTCAGATACTCTGGTTTTAAATTTATTCTGGCCTCCTTAACCTCTTCTCCTTTAGATTTAGCCTGCAGTGCCTGCAATAGCTGCTCCAACCATTCATTACTGGAACTAGAGAGCTGTCAGCCGATTCGATTGGCTGACAGCTCTCCAAGACAGGACCTCCTCTCCAGATAAAAGTGGAAGTTTCACCCAGTGCCAATTAATATTTCATCCAGCAATAAACGGATGTGAAGCAGCCAGATCTTTTGTGGATGGGCTCCTAACTGCCATTTTTAGCTGGGGCAAGGAGTTAAGGGGAATGCGATGCCTTGTTAATTCAGCTCAGATATATTAGGGATGGTGAACAAAAGAATGGTTAAACATTTTAAAACTAGCTTTAACGACTCCTTACAGGAGGAGACAGTGGTAAAGAAATCAGTGAAGCACAGAGATTATAAGGTCCAACTTTGCACTTTTCAATCAAAACTGAATAGCAACAGTGAATATAATCAGAAACACAAAATTGAAACAAACCTCTACTTTACCTTGAATAAACTCTTGTCTTTTAAAGACTGACAAACAAGTTTTTCAATATTTCCACCTGCAATGAAGGTCACCAAAACTACCAGCATCATAAGCCAGGAGAAGATGAAGCTGATTCCAACTCCACTAAAAAACATGGCAGATAAATTTTTAAAAATTTTGGTATAATTTGAAACTTAATATTGTAATTAAAATAATTTTCTCTAAATGTTGGACATCACATACAACTAAGTGACATCAGTATTTGAATTTTGTCATAATATTACAAGTTCTTACGCTAAAAGAAGGTTGCCTCCTGTGTTTGATACACAGCCTCTTGTGGTTGGAGAAGCATGCTTGTCAAAGCCACATGTTCCACAAAGCAAACCAAGATAATTGAAGGCAAGGATAAGAATCACAGCACAGCAGAGGGCAACACCAGCAAGCCATCTATAAAACGACACATGCTGAAGTCAATTGCATTTTTAATAGGTGCAGAAATAGGCTTTCCTTATGCAATGTACAGTTTTAAGTCTTGCATAGAATGGTGCAGATCATTTAGTGGAACTATAAGTGAATTCTGCTCCTCAGTTAATTTGTCTCATTAAAACCCCTTCATACTGTAACAGTAAACATTGTACGCATGATTCCGAAACCATTTGGAAACATTTATGATGTATAAAACAGTTTGCAAATAAATATATTTAAGCTATTTTTTAAAAATATTGTCAATGTTGTAAGCATAGAATGGATATGTTAACACTGCTGTAATTAAAATTTGAGAAAGCAAACCTACCTGTAGAAATCATATTTTTCCAAATGTGGAAAATACTCAAGAAAGTATCTCTGACCCTGATTAAGATAAGTCGTAGAGGTATTAATTATATCGCCAATGACAGGCTCCTTACTTAAACTTGAAATTCGCTCTTCAACTTCATTGAGTACTCTTTTTGCATCTGAAACAAAGAACAAATAATACAATTCCACACAACTACAAGTGCACACTTAATTAACTATGTCAATCTTATCTGATTACAATTGCTGATCAAAATAGATGTAGGGCACTTGTGTGATTCTTGAAAATGCTCAAGCAAATGTACTTTATACTATCATATATTTTTTATCACCACAAACATGTACACATTTTTCAATTGCTTCAAAGAAAATGTGTATAATAACACAAGCCAATACATTATTTATGAACAAAATGAAGCAGTGCATATGTAACACTGATAGAATTGGTCATGAATTTGCAATTTCAAAATAGCAAATGTTTATTATTGAATTGCACCAGAGCATAGTGCTCCAATTGCCCTCATAAATGAGCAGAGGCAAACATGTTAACATCCAAAACAAACTCATTAGTTTTCCAGATTCTAAAATTTATAAAAGATAGGTTATTGTAACTTCTGCAAACAGAGCGTCACAAATTTAGAAAACCACTACTGTGGCATAAACAGAAAAACACACAACAGCACATTGTGTCATAGTTTTTACATACTGTAGTCAGGTTTTGGATAAACTTATGAAGATGTGCTGAAAAATTGAGATATTGTCATACATAAACTACAGAAAACTGTTTATTTTTGGTAATTAATTGTAAAATATTCTAAAACATTGCAGTCTTTAGCATGCACATTTTTTCTTTCAGTAAACTATCAGTCAAGCTACGATTAACATCAGTCACTGATTATTTACAAAAAAAAAAGCAGCTTTATGTACATGATCATAAATACACAGAATTAAATATATTTTATCATTTTACCTGATGCGAATGATTTGGTTTCATTTTGAAGTACTTCTGGAGTATTATTAAATGCTGAATATCCCTATAATTATACAAATAAATTATTAACATATGAAGCAAAAGCAGAAACCATATTGGGGGGTGACTGATGAACTCAGAAAGAAAAAATAAATTTTCCAACCTAGAATTCACTATTTGAAAGGATGATGATGGTGGACACAGATTCAATACAATCTTGGACCAGAGACATCTATGAGTTTTTCAAGTGACACAATGGCCACTCCTCACTTTTGATGGTACAAACTCTGGAACTCTTTCTAAAGTACTAAGAGGGCACTTTCAGCACAAAAATGGCAATTATTCAAGGCAACAACTCACCACTGTCTCAAGGTCCATTTAGGATGGCTAATAAATGCCAGACTTGCCAAGAACATCCAAATCCAATGAATGAATAAATATAAAAAGCAGTTTCAAATTGACTTTTTTGCTGAAAAGGAGGAAACTTGAAAGCATATGGGGAAAGAGCAGCCAAGCGGTTTGGGGAAAGGTTAGTGATAATTAAATTGCTCTATTCAAGAGAGGATGGGTGCAGGGAGTACGAAACTATAACAGCTGTCAGAAGGAAATTGCTAGAATCCATTATTAAGGTATTATACCAGAACATTTAGAAAGTCATACTCCAATCAGGCAGAATCAAGATAGTTTTATGAAAGTGCAATTTATTAGAACTCTTTGAGGAGACAAGACGTTAGGTGGATGATGTAAAACCTATTATCTGGTCTTCTTGGTTTTCCAAAAGGCATCCAAGGCCATTGCACAAAATAAGAGTTCACAGTGATGGTACAGGGGGAGGTAGGAGAGACATATTAGCATGGTTAGAGGATTGGTTAGCTAACAGGAAGCAGAACTTTGGGATAATTGAAAACCGAAAGAACTGCAGATTTCATAATCAGAAACAAAAACAGAATTTTGCTGGAAAAGCTCAGCAGATCTGGCAGCATCTGTGAAGAGAAATCAGAGTTAACATTTCAGGTCCGGTGACCCTTTCTCAGAATTGATGGTAGTTGAAAAAATGTTGTTTTTTTTAAAAAAAAGGGGGGGGGGGGGGGGGGTTAGGGGTAAACAACAGATGGACATAGACCCCAAAGAGACAGAAGAACAGTTTGACAAACAAAGGAGTGGATAACAATCTGGCTAGGAGGTTGAACAGCTGTTAATGGAGACTGTTAGTAGTTAACAACAGGTAGTGTGTAATGGTAAACTATGTGATAACAAGGTCTGGTGTGTGGGGTACAGAGCGAGGACATGGGAGGGTTCAAACCCTAAAATTATTGAAATTGATATTGAGTCCAGAGGGCTGCAGGGTCCCCAAGCAGAAAATGAGGTGTTGTTCTTCTAGCTTGTACTGAGCTTTGCTGGAACACTGTAGCAAGCCTGAGACAGAGATGTCGGTCAGGGAACAGGTGGTGTGTTAAAGTGGCAGTCAACTTGAAGCTCAAGGTCCAAGCAAGGGCCCAAACATACTTTCCAGGTGGAGCAGCACTTTACCTGCACTTCTCACAATCTAGTCTAATGCATTCGCTGCTCACAATGTGGTCTCCTCTACACTGGGGAAAAGAAGCGTAGACTGGGTGACCACTTCGCAAAACATCTACACAAAAAAGACCCTGAGCTTCCAGTTGCCTGCCACTTTAACACACCACCCTTTAACACACCACACTCTCCCACATACTAGCCCCATACCTCACACATCAGGCCTTGTTATCACATAGTCTGTCGTTATACACAGCCTATCATTGGCCACTTACAGTCTCCATTAACAGCTGTTCAATCTCCTGGCCAGATCATTATCCACTCCTTTGTCTGTTCAATTGTTCTTCTCTTTCTTTGGGCTCTATGCCCATCTATGATTTACTCCTGACCCCCTCCCCCTACCGTATACTCTGCATATAAACCAACACTTTCCCAGTGACCATCAATTCTGAGGAAGGATGACCGGAACCAAAAAGTTAACTCTGATATCTCTTCACAGATGCTGCCAGACCTGCTGAGCTTTTCCAGCAAATTCTGTTTCTGTTTGGGATATATAAGTTATTTTCATAGTGACAAGCTGTTACTAATGGTGTGGCACTGGGATCAGTACTATTAGTTTTACATCAATAACTTTAATGAAGAAACTGAATGAATGGTAGCTAAATTTATTAATGATGCAAAGATAGACAAGGGAATTAAGTTGTTAAGAGGACATAAGAAGTCTACAAAGGGATTTAACTGATAGGGCAGATGGAGTATAATGTGGGAAAATGTGAACTTGTCCACTTTTACAAGAACAACAGAAAACCATCATATTATTTGAATGGAAAGAGACAATAATATAGAAGGATTAGAGTGTTCTGGTTGAATCAGAGATAGTAGGAACTGCAGATGCTGGAGAATCCGAGACAACAAGTTGCAGAGCTGGATGAACACAGCAGGCCAAGCAGCATCATAGGAGCAGAAAGGCTGACATTTCGGGCCTAGACCCTTCATCAGAAATGGT